TTAAACATTACCATTAAACTTAGCTCCAAATAATTGAGCCAATTCATCTAATTTTTCCTGTGTACTGCTGGGTTCTGGCTCAGTGAAAAGTTTTTTGATACTGTTTTGAGATTTAGATTCATTTGGCCATGAAACTTTAGGAGGTGTTAATTCTGAGTCTGGGTCTGCATCCTACGACAGTAAAAATTGAGTTAAGAAGCACTACTGACAAAGAAGAATACATACATGTCTCAGTTTGAAAGACTTTTGGAGAACAACACATACCAAAAAATTTTGTGTTGTACTAGGGAGGCTTAGAGTAATGGGGGAGAATATTATTTGTTGCTCATTGTCTTTATGGCTTACTGATTCACCACATGTTAAGCGGTTTGGCTGACCCGCAGGAATGAAATCGTCATCGTCATCATCTTGCCCTAACATTAAAAAAAATACACAAGCATAAGTTAGTTTCTAGATCAGAGTGTGATAGATTTCGTTGGTGTAAACACTTACATTCAGTAGACTGAGAGGCAAAAAGATCAGAAACTGAGGTCAATGTCCTCCTCAGGCTACCTGGTTTCTCAATGTTGGTTTCTGAAGAGAAGAAAAAAAAACACACAAAAAAAGGAAAAACACAACAAAAAATTAAAATATATTCAAGTACAATGTGTCCCAGTTCTGAAAGTGAAATACTGAAAGGTTTAACTGCAAACCAGGCACAAATCTACATGCACATATACTAAAATATATGTCCTTGCGTGATGCATTTCTAGCTGGCGTATTTAAAATAGGCTTACCTTTGTCACCATTGCTGTTTTCTTTACATTCCACATCATCCTCCAGTACGTTGTCAATTTCATTATTGTCATTGTCATCGTCACTTGTACTGTCGTTGTCATCCTCGTCATCATTACTACCTCCAGCATTTTCATCATCTTCAACTTCAGCTTCCTCGTCAACAAATAAGCCCTTAAACCTCTTTTTCTTCTTGGGCTCCCTGACATCATTGATTTCAGGTTCAGATTCTGCTTCACTGTCTGTCATCTCTTCTTCATCCTCCTCATCAGGTAACATATCACAATCATCCTTTTCACCTAAATATAGATAGATTATTATTGAAATTTTCTTTACAACAATGTAAAATAAAATACAATTAGAATTCACCTAGAAAAACTTCATCATTTTTCATTTCTTCCTGCTTTTTTAACCATTCTTCTTCTTTTTGTTTCCGCATCTTCAAGTTCAGTTCGTTTTTCAACAACTTTAATCGTGCACCTGGAGTTGGATCAGACCGGGTGTTATCATCTCCACTCAGAACAATTTTAATGGATTCATGTTTGACTTCTTGGACATCTCCGACATTATCCTTTTCTGAGGATATCACACTGTCCAAGGATTAAGAGAAGGAGAATTTTAAAATTGAGAAAGGCATCAAGAATTAAGAAATAAATTGAACTACAAAAGTAATTCTGACCTCAACTCAACAGTTTGTGCTCTGTTGTTTTTTTTCTTAGATCCTGAATGCTTCATGAATCTTTCAATGAGGCCTTTAACTCCTGGGGTCACAGATTGAATAGAACTCATGTCATCCAGATCGATCAATTCATCAGGAGCCCCTTTGAGACTCAACCGTGGGCCAGTGGACAATTTTGGCACCTTCATGGCTGTGGCCTCTTTGACAGAAACATCCTTCAGAGAGAATTAAAATTTAATACAAATAATTACTGAAAATGTAAAATTGTACGGGTAGGGTCACTTATATCAATCATACCTCTGATTCAGAATCTTCACCATCCAATAACTTCATCTCGGAATTTAACTCGGCCCAAGTTTTTGAGTTCTTACCCTCATTTTCACTTAAACCATTGTCTGTAGTTTTTGCAAGATCTTCGGCTATTGTTCTCTCTTGATGTGCATTTTTTGATTCCTCTAATAAATTTTGAGTCTCACTCAATTGTAAACTTATGTCCTGTGAGCCTTGAGTATGACATGATACTACCTTTTTAGTAGGTTGAGCATCTGAGGATTTTCTTTCAACATTATCAGTCCTTGGTTCTATTTTATTTAGAAGGTTGTTAGTTCCAACTTCTTCTTCAGCATCTGTCAACACTTGCGTGATTGTTCCATCTTCAATTTCTTTAGCATCTGTAGAAATAGCATCAGTAGGCTCTTCACTCATTGAAGTGTCACATGCAATTTCATCAGTTTTATTAATTAAGTTCCGATCAGCAGTTTGTGAGTCAGAAATAACAGAACTCGTCTCCTCTTCTGCTTCACAGGTTGTCTTCATAACTTCTGATGAGCACGAAGTAGTTTCTAATCTGTTGTCTTCACAGCTGACCACACTGTTAACAGGGTTTATGTTCTTATCATGCAGATGGTCCTTACTTGGTGTTGTGTCAGCATCCTTTAGAGAGCCACTTTCAGCAGTATTCCCATCCATTCCCACATCTTGGGTAGATTCTCCATTCTCAGAATCACTTTCATGCTCTGATTCCGATTTGTAAAATTCTTCAACTTCTCTTTCACGTTCCTCAATTTGCTTCCTAGATCGACAAAACAAAATTGGAAATTGGAGCATCAAGCAAAATAAACATTTTAACATGTCAGTTAATGAAATTTGAAATGCAACTTACCAAACTTTAACAAGCTGCTCAGTGGGACCTTTGATTGGCATGGGAGACGATGATTTTCGACGGTTCAAGAAATCCAGCAGAGATCTTTGCTTGGGGACATGGTATGGAAGTCCAATGTTGGATTGCCGCAGTTGCCGCTGACTTTCAGCTTTAATCTCAAGCATAGCACTTTTGGCATTGGTTTTACTCTTCCTTTCAGGTCCTAGATTTGGTTTCTTTCCTTTAGTAATAGACTTTGCTTTCTTCTCACCTTCGCTGTCACATCTAGTGGGGTCAGAGTCAGAATCAGAGCCCTGCTTGTTTTTGGAACGACTTTTCTTCTTACTAGCACTTTTGGATACAGGTCGAAGATCACCGTCTACATCAGATTCTGATTCAGAATCCGCCAGGGCACTTAATTTTTTCCTAATGTCGTCAGCTACTGATAAGGCTGGTGGACTTTGAGAGCTATTTTTTGTTACATTTAACTTGCCAGATTCCAAGATGGGACTGGGTGGTGAGGAGGCATTAGACTCCTCATTGTTGTCTTCTTCATTTGAACTGTCTCCCGCCTTGTTAGGTGATGTAACAATTTTGTCTGTTGAATTTGGTCTTGCTCTGGCAGCAATATAGCCATTGCCTTCATCTTCATCATCAGAGAGATGTAGTTTGAAATCTTCAGTGGCCTCCGTCAAATTTTCTCCAGCTACCTCATCTGTTTCTTCATCACTATCAAATATTTTCTTGGCTGAAGATTTACGATGGGTGAATGTTGTCTCTTCATCTGAACTTAGATCCATAGCTAGACCTCTTTTTGCTATTAATTTTGTTTGAAACTATCAGCCTAACTCAATGTCTTAACACGCGAACCATGAGTTTCGCCAACATACATAATGAGCTTCTAAAGCCAGCCAGAACAGCGATATGTAGGGAACAAAGAGAACCACTACTGTGCAGTTGGATAGGTTGGAAAAACTCGGGCGCAAAACTTAACCAACGAAACATTTAGTTTCTCCTACCTCTTGAATGGTTGTTTCTTGTTTTTTGTGTACGGCTTTCTTTGCCCGCCAAATTTTGATGTCACGCTGACGTCACGGCACGAAAGCAAATGAAAGTGCCCCATGTTACCACCCTCATAACGATACCGTGCGATGAGAAATACTTTCAACTTTGAATTGTTTGATTAAATAATCGTGACGTATTTTTTAATTTATCTCAAAACTATATATTTCAAACTAGTTTACCACCGAAAACTTATGATTTCATTTTATTTTAAAATTTTTTTTTGTTTGTTTGCTGGTAGAAGTGACAGCTGTTTAGCCTGTGTTTAGAGGTTATGTGCTCCATGTGTGTTTTTGTTTCACCAACGCAATGTTGTGCCGACATTCAGATTCTTAATTAAAGAAACCGGATAAAAGAGGTAAAGAGTTTCTTGGTTCAAGTGAAAGTTTTATTTCAAGTTATTTAGTATTTTCTGTCGTTTTCCCAGATCAGTAAATTTCTGAAGTTTAACCCCACTTCAAATTTGACTGAATACTATCAAGTTTTAAGTTTTCTAACTTTCCCATTAATTACCTTCAATCTACCTTATATTCGTGTGTAATGAGTTGTCCTCGCTCCATGTACTTTCTAATACTCATTTGTATCTCATGATTCTAGGATTCATTGTATCGCTTGTGGTGTGTCTAACACAGATATCTCCGAAGTAACAACTCTCAACAATGGACAAAGACAAGGAGCAGGCTTCAACCAAAAATCCAATGGTTTACATCTGTGGGGGTGAGAATGATCATTTATAGGTATAGGTTTTTCGTATTTTCAGATGATTTGACTTTTGTTACTCTGTTCAGAGTGTCATCATGAAAATGAAATTCGACCCAGAGATCCCATCAGATGCAGAGAATGTGGCTACAGAATAATGTACAAGAAGAGGACCAAAAGATGTATCCTTTATAAACGAAAATTTCCTTTTTACTCGTTCTTTACCAGCAAAAAACGAGTATTGTTCTCAGTGCAGTGTAACACCAAACATGATTCCATGTTCATCTCAGAGCACAGAATACCTACAAACATGACACTTATACCATTTGAAACTGGGAGTGCTGGTGTTTCTTCAAACTATGAACTATTTTTTGAGTTTCATAGGATATTGTTGAGAAAACTTAACAAATTTTGCTGATTTTTGTGCTAAGTCCCTCACCCAGCTTATTAGTGGACATTTTAATCTCAGAAGACACAACAGCTACGAACAGATAAGTAATACTATTCAAAATTAGGAACCTTTCTGTCACTTTTAACATTTAACGTTTTCATGTTTAATCGTATTATTTTGAGAACTCTTAACAAAAAATTTGAAGGTTTTCAGTCAAAGTCCTCCAGCCACCGAGCCAGCCACCCTATTGGTTGTGTTTCGGCCCCGCCTCGGGCCTCATTGTTAGGGCTGCCCCCTACCCCGCTTCGATGAGTGATGTTGTAGTTGTCTCTCTTTTCATTACTTAAAAAATACAATTTCAAATGGTAATAAGTGTTATGTTGGACGATATTCTATATCCTGAGATGAAGATACAAGACATCACAATAAAAATTCTGGGTTCAGCAAAAATTGGCTTAAAGCGAGTACAAATCTAGTTGCCAGTGGAATCAGCCATTAGCTTTTAAGGGTTGTCTGCAATCTGCCGTAGGCCATAAGGTTCAAGTTGTAAGCCGAGTTTTAAGATCTGTTTCAGCAAGATGCGCTTCTGCCAACAACTTAGGTTACGGCTTAAAACTCGTCTTACAACATTGACAAACGCCCGAGACTGAAAGTCAGTTCTGAAACCGTCTGTTTCACCCAAACTATAAGTCTATAAATTTGCTACGACTCGTTAAAACACGTCTTTGGTCATGTTGTAGACGGGCCTTAAGATAGTTCAACATTATTTTAATACATCTGAACTGTTAAATTTTGTAGTGATGAGAATTGGTCTTCAGCATCAACAGACAAAAAAAATCATCTGTTTTAAGAATCCCAGTGTACGGTGTGGAATGGCATTATTGTTTTAACATCGGATATGACAAAACAGCCATTCTTTCATAAATGAATGAAAAAAGTGGCGTTTGTCGTCTTTATCAGTTTTTAATTGGCTGTTTCTTTCTTTCTTTGCAATGTGAATTTACTGCTGCGCTGGATTTACATTAATTTTCTTGTACAGGAAAAGTGGGGCGGGTCTATTTCTATATCTGTAATTAATTTGCATTTCTTTCAGCTCTCAATTGGCATTGATTAATTGTAATGCTTGGTTCAATTCCTTAACCATTTCTAACAGTAGTTGTGTTTGATGCCCGCTGAACTGCTGGATTTCAACAGGAAGATGTCTTAAGTTTAATTAATGTTACAAGAAGACCCCTAAGAATCGTATTGTGTATAAAGTCTTTATAAAACCTCATATGAGGAAAATAAAATCTCAATAAATGGGTGAGGTGTTTCACTGAGGTCAATCAAAAATTCACACTGCTGATCAGTCATTTGTTTCATTTGACACAAGAGTACGCATATACCACAACAGTAAGCATGTGTATGCTATAACTTAAAAGGAAAAAATTCATTGCTAGTAATACAATGAACACTGAATATTTTTCTGCTTTCTGTATATTACACATCTATGTACATATGTACATAAAACAAAATGCTGCTTGCTTACATATAATACATTTTGTAGTTAGCACTAAGAGGCTAATGACTTGTCACCCTCCAAATTTAAGCAGACATCCCACATTTAACACTTGACAGAATTTTAACTAGACTAAAGAAATAATATAGAATCTACATACTTATGCAGCTAATCAACATATGTATCACATGCCTCTAAAATGCTACAATTCCTCAGCCAAAGCCACAAAAAGAAGTAATTTCTGCATAACTTATTAAGACGTTAAAAAAAAAAGGACAATATTGTATGCTAGACATTGTTTCATTGAGCTTTTTTGACTGGGTCAAGCACTTAAAAAAAAAAAACTGAACAAAAAATAAAATCACATGTTTAAGGTCCAAAGGCAGCAGGTATCAGATGAACTTGCCATCAAATAAGGACCATGGAGAGACTGAGAAATGGGAAGATAAAACACTACAAAGGAACTTTCCTTTTAAATGAGGAAAGGAAATCAATGCATAACAAAAGAAAAAGTGCCAGCTACTTTCATCTAACAGACTAATTGTACAAAAATAATAATCTTGAAAGAACTTTGGACTGGCCATTCTCTGTTGGTACAGACAAGTGAGAAGGCAAATTTGAGAGAGCAATACAGCTCTCAATACTAAACACTAGTGTTCTCAAAATTCATTGATTCTGTAAAAGAGAAATGAAATGACAAGGATCTGATTTAAACCAACAATAAAATATATTGGTTTAGATATGTAAAATGGAAGCTCTTACATAAAGCAAAAATCATTCAATAATAAGAATATAAGAATACATACACATTGGTTCGTATCTGTACGAAGAAAACTACGAATAAATTTGTTGGTCCAGCTGATGTGTAATATTTTCAAGCAACATAGAGATGATAAATAAGCCATGACAAAAACCTAGTTTAGAAAAATTGCAGGCATTGAAATGGAAATCCAGCAAACAGGAAGATAGATACTTACTCCCTTCCTTTGATTTTCTCTACAGATAAATAGTAGTTGAAAGATACAGTTTAGATAGATAGATATTAATGGAGAACATCTTTTGATAACTATCTTTTTGCCAACAGTTCAAATCTAATAAGAGTAACTCATCAAAAATTGGGGGAGTTCAATGATCTGTGTACATGATATGCTCTTTGGTCATACTAAGTCAATTGCTCACGGGGATACAATATACTACTGAAACCAATGCCTAACTTCTTATAATTGTCAGAATTTTTTTGGCAGACTATTTAAATTTGAAACAATTGTTTCAGTCTTTCTTTCAGTTACTTAGTAATTGGCACAGAAGAAACCCAACTTAAGAGCCAGTTCTTAAACTAATGTTTTTGAAGTAAATTTAAAGCAGCAGCACATCTCTGAAGCTGATGGTCATGATACTAATCAAAGTAATGTAGTAACACAAGCAGAACCTTCAATGTTAAGGTTGAGGAAAAATGCACAGATATCACATTGGAAGCACGATATGTTTCTGTGCTTTCATCTCCACAGAAGGTAGAAAACTTACAGTTTTGATATACTGTGAATTGCAACACATAAGCCGACCTTTTTAGTCCGGTTCAGAGGGGGTCAAAATCGTAACTCAGCTTATTGTACGCCGTATAGAAATCGTCTTATATGCTATTATGGAACCTCGAGAAACGGGGGTCGGCTTGTATGACGGAATTCATAGTATACAAACGAGTTTTGAACTGTAAGAACATCATGGTCTGATAAAATATAAAAAAATCAAAAAGAGAATTTAACTAATAATAATTTTAAATTGTCTATCACATCTCAAGCAAATTCTGTGTTGCATAGTACCACAGTCATATTTGAAACACTACAAAATTATGACTCTACAGGAATACAATTATATAATAAAGAACTTCCTAAGAAACTTATCAGATTACATCTTCATTATGCACTGTATTTCTCAAATAACTTAAAATTTTACTTCAAGACACAAATCACACCAATATGTCACAAATTTGTTAAAACACCTCCTTTCTCACTCCAACAGCTCTAAAAAATACATGTGAGCACTGTGAGAATATCCTCACATAATAATCAGAAAGATACATAAGAAGAGGACACACGATTTGAGCAGTGCTTGTCCTGGTCACCTGTGTGCAGGGGGCTGAAGAGACTGCCCCCCATAGGCAATGTCAGTCTTATTAGGTACTTCACACACTCCTGTCCTGCCTTCTGCCGTCTTATCTTGTAAATCATGAGTTTGTTCCATGTGCGCTAACCGCCTTTCAAATTGAACAGATTTAATTTCTGGATTGACGTCCTTATTATTAAGTATTATTGAATGAGAGTTGACTGAATTATATCTTCCAGCTATCAGCCCCGGCAAATGCGTCAAGAGAGGTGGTTTGTCACTAGGTTGGACATCCATCTTCACTGTTGTTGACATGTACGTAGGTACTCCATTTGAACCCGGAGGTGGTGGTACATTTTGTCCTCCGGCGGGCATTCCTGAAAATACGCGAGAAGCAGGCGCAGATGCAGCAGCCGCGGCCGCGGCAACTGCAGCAGCAGCGGCGGCAGCAGCGGTCGTGTTCGTCCTGGGCGCTGCAGCATCTTGTTTCACTGCACTGGGGCCCGACTGCTGTGGCGGTGTTGTATTTGGAGAGGATATGCGGGGAGGTAGATGTTGAAGTTGGTTTTGTTGTAGCTGTTGGACGGTTGGCTGTGGAGGTGGTTGCTGCTGGGTTTGATGTAGTGCTTCGCTCTGGGGTGTGTTGGAAGTTGCATTATCTTCATCACCTGTATCAACAACGTCTGGGAAGGGAATACCATGAAACATAATAGGTTCCCCCTCATCAGACGACTCTTCAATATCACTGGCAGTGGCTTCTGGTTGTTTCCATTGATTTAACTTGGACGGATCCAACTTCTTTGCTAATGCCTAGAAATAAAATTGGAAAAAGGAAAAATTTTACTCTTTGATGAAGGCAAGTTAAGAAAACAAACAACTGGATAGGATACTCACCAACAGACTTTCAAGAGAACTATCACAATCTGTTGTATCAATATCATTCATGTTTAACCCAGCTCTCTCTATTTCAGCATATGTTCCGAAAGGCAGTTTCCCAACACATTCTAATTTCATTATATGCATTTTAGAACGTAAATGCTTTGCCAGATGTCCATGAATCCGGAATGCACTTTTACAATCATCACATTTGTAAGGTCTGGGGTTTGTAGTAGTTGGGGTGCCAAATGTGGAGTTCATGCTCACCTACAAAGTAAACCACATGAATTAGATAAAAAATAGCACAACCTATCTATCAGGTTACATTTAGCTATTCAACTGCTTTTACCTTATTGTGATGAGATACAGATCTTTCATGCTTTTGAAGATGACCTCTCGTCCGAAAGGAAACAACACAAGCATCACAACGAAATGGGCGTTCAAAATAATGAATATTCACATGCAGATGGAGTTGACTTGGCTTTGAAAACACTTTATTGCAAATAGTACATTTGCTCCGACCATCATCAGTAACACTGAAATAAAACATTCACAATTACTCATCAAAAACAACACTGAGATTGAGACAAATAATGATGGTTTTAGTCTGTTGCCTTACCTGACATAGCTAGGAGCAGGGCCACTGGATGGTGGCATGAATTCTGCTTTGGGCTTCTTTACAACTGCACCAGATGTTTGAGGAGGGGAGGTGCTGCCAGAATTTGCTACAATAACACTATTAGAAGGTGGCCGAGATCCTGAAGTGGTTACAGTGGAAGATGACTCCTCAGAGAGTGGCATCCCAGATGACACATCATTTCCACTTGCTGACACAGTTGTTATCACAGATAAAGTTGCGTTCTGTTTATCTTCACTACCCACAGGTGATGGTTGAAAAGATTCTGGTTTGATGTCTGCCGTTGTCTCTGATCCAGCTATTTGATCACCTGGAAGAGTCTTGTCTGATGCACCGTCTGCTTCACTCAATGTCCTTGTTCTTTTATCTATGGCTTGCACTGTAGAGGAGGAATGCATTGTCAATGGCACTGGAGCCAGCTTCACAGGGGACTGCACATTTTCTTGCTTTATAGACACAGGAGGTGGGGTGGATGTCAAGTTTGAGTGAAGTGATGAGGAAGCACTGGTTATACTTGCAGATACTTTAACGTTAGAAGACGTAACTAGCCTTGGATCACTATCACTAATTTTTGATGTTTTCTGAACTGCCCACAAGAGAGGGGGAGGCCTCAAAATAGGATTCTCTGGGGCAGTCATACTATTTTGAGATGAGATCATATGGGAGACTGAAGTAAATGTAGTTGAACACATCACAGTGCGCACAGTGTCAGTGTGAGAGAGGGCATTTGAATAAGACATAGTTGGTGTAATGCAAGAGGTCGGTGTTCCCAGCATTACAACTGGAGTGTCCTTGTCAGACCTCTCTTCTCTTGATCTTGGGTGATATTGACTTTGCTTAACGCGAGCATCTTGCACTGCTCTTTCACGGAGGTAGGTCTGATGAAGGGCAGAGTCTTCAGGTGGGTCCGTGGGTGTTGATAAACTAAGAGGAAGCTTCTCCATTGTGCTGCAAATAGATGCCAGCAAAAATGCAGGCTCAGAGACAGGAGTCAAGATTTCAGATATAGGAGTGGTTGGTGTGCGAGGCATGAGAGACATGGGCAGAGCTGTCAGTAAGGCTGAAGGTAATCTACTACTGATGGTTGAGCCTTTGGGCTTACTGGAAGTATCATCGCTATTTGTTGAATCTACACCATCAACATCCTTTGACTCTTGTTTAATAGTATCTGTTAGCGTAGAACTGCTACCAACAATCCGACTAGAAGGAAAATAGTAGCGCTGATGTCCATCTTCTGTATTTAGCTCAGCCAAAGGTTTGGCACCATCATCCAGATGTATACCCTGTTCATGTATGTCTCTGGCAAGACCTGTGTTGTGAGACACCTGCACAACAAGAGAAAAATTATTCAATAAATGGTGAACAACTGGAAAATTTAAAAAGGTTTATCAACAAAATATCTCTTAGATGTACCTTTTCCCTTTCCTTGTGTTCACTGATAGGAGCAAGTGTAGGAGTGCCAGGAATGGAAGATGTGATACGTCTTGGATGCTCAGAGGACAGCTGATAAGGGTATGTGCTGAGACTGCAAGCTCCTTTAGGGGCCACAAGCCCTGCTTCTCTAGCTTCTTTCTCAGTTGTAAGATCATTATTTGGAGAATGATGAGGAGTTTGAGCAAGAGAGAGCAGTGACCTAGCAGCTTCTCGTTCTTGTCTTCCTTTAATGTCATCTAAACACAAAAAAGAACGATCGATCAAAATATCATCTTCAATCAATTAACACATAAAAATCAAACAGAAAGAGCTAAACTGTACAAATATACAATATTGTAGAACATAATACAGTTTCTGATAAATTAAGAAAATTGTCCTTACCTTCAGCTTCATCGTCATCATCATCTTCCTCCTCATCGTCATCATCATCCTCCTCATCTTCATCATCGTCAGAATCCTCATGGCCCTCTCCCCGGAGTGCTTGCTGTCTTGCAAGACAGGCTTCATCAATGTAACTGTCATCAACCACAGTGGGAACAGGGTCAATTCCCTCTTCCTTACATTTTTTGTAGTGTGCTTTCGATTTCATATGTTTTGTCAAGTTTCCTTTGGTTTTAAAGCTAAAAATAACAGTTAAAATTAGGTAAGAAAAGTTATCACTTCAAACATTACTAATAAAATGATTTAATTTTGCTTACCTGAAGCTACAGTGTCTGCAGGTGAAAGGGCGAACATCAGTGTGAGTGCGTATGTGCTTCTTGAGCATTGATGGCTTCTTGCATCTAATACCACATTCTTCACACACGTAACGACCTCGCCCTAAGAACAAAATTAGAGCATCAGGAAGGGGCACAAAAACTAAAATATATTAGACATCATTTTATTTGTAAAGATGCAAACCTCTCCCACGTATGTAAGTATATTCCTCAGAAGACTCAAAACCTCCAGCACATATCTTTATTCTCTTTGGCGCATTAACGCCTTCAGCAACCTGAAATTCAGAAAACTGTCAAGCAAACAAGACACATTATAAATGTGTAATCAAACCAGTATACACCTACATCAAGAGCTGCGTCAGGTTCATGTTTTACTCGAGTCAACCAGTAAGAGGAGTGAGTCAATCGCACATTTGTCTTCAAGCCAGAAACAGAATATTCAGCAGGGCGATGCCGAGAGTCATACAGAGCAATCATTTGATTTGGAGTCAAACCACATGGATCAGGATCTGGGTCATACACCTGTTGGAATAATCAAATGAATAAACATGGACTTTTTTTTTAATGGTAACCTTCATAGTTCAATTTTAAAAAGAAATTTGATTTGAGAATAAATTTACCTTCCAGTTGGAATACATGGACAGTTTGTTGTGGTCTGGACTGAGTGGAACATATGTGGGTTGCAAACGGTTTAAAGTGCAGAAGTATGGTCGAGTGGAACATTTTAGACCTAAGTACGTGTAGGCGTGACCGTTCAGGTACAACTGCCCATACGATTTCTTGGGTCGTGGTGTCTCAGGGCTAACAAGAGATAGAACATTAGGAGTAATAAGATGTCTTTTAGGGGTGAATGTGCCAGGCTTCAGAGGTAATGATGTGGGCCTCAAAAAGCGATTCCCTCTTGTTGCTTCAGTGACGGCAGTTCTACTGACATCCTTATCATCTGA